TCATGGATACCGAAATGTAATGTAAATAATGTTGACAATGAGTGTTCCAACGAAATCGAGGTATTTAGTGACAGAATGAAGTCAAATTTTTAAAACGTAACGTAATATATATTTGTTTGTTCAAATTATTTCCATCTTTCCATGTTACTTTTTGATTTATCGAGAATAAGTATTAATATCAATCAATTATATGTGACTTGTTTATCGTAAATTACAAAAAATAATAATACTATTACGATAACGAGACTCCATTAAATATGATTTAATAATAAATTTACATTTTTTTTTCATTTTTGCAATTACAAACGGTTGGGTATCGTTTAAAGAACATAATAATAATAATAAAAAAAATGTCCATTGTAATATATATTGCAATTCTTAGTATTTAATATAACAATACGATTATATTCTTAGAAGCTCACTATTACTTCTAATCACTGATAACACTTGATATCACTGTTATTACAAAATCAATAAGACGCGATAAGAAACTCCTGAGAGTCGAATATCAAAAGAACATTTTTTCTAACAATTAAAATAACAAAAATGTTTCTTTCGATCATTTTAATGTGAATAAAAAAATAAAGAAAAAAGAATTCAAATATTCTTATCGTATTACCAATGAATTTCAATTGGATGATACAATTAAATAGTATTGAGTAGATAAAAGCAAATAACTAACCTCATTTTATTAACTTTTCCCTCAAAAAATAATTAACTGTTTAATAAAAGAATCTTTTTCTCTCCTGAACTAAAATTATCTGTTATGCAACAAAACGTTAACGATTGTCTAAAAATAGATATGATTTTAGAAAAAAGAAAATTTTTCACTTTTTCAAATAAACAGACATATCGTCAAAGATTAATAATAATTGCATTGAAATCATAACTAATTGTAAGCAATGTTACATAATCCTTCTTCGAATTGCATTACAAAGTGTTGTACACAATTTCAATTATAATACCCTCGAAGAATTCTATTTTCTATGGTTTTAAAATTAAAAAAAAAAAAAGAAGAAAAAAAGATAAATAAATTGAAAAAATACAAAGGCGATTGAACACATAAAAAAAACCATTAAAATGTTGAATTATTTTACGTAAATTAACTGAAAATGTTATACGTGTTCATAGGATAACTTAGAAATTCTACGATAAGTATACTAACACAGCTTATCTTCTTTCCGATTTCAATTTGTTCAAACGAAAGATGTACAGCTCAAATGTGGTGTTTCATCCAAATCAATTTTAACATCCATTATCGAAGATACAATTTAATATTTTTTTTTATAAAAAACAATTTATTCATAAGTACATGTATAATATAAAGAAGAAAATTTAAATGGCGCAAACAAAAATTTATTTTTACTCGGTAGTCTATCGGTTTATTTAAAAACTTACTTGTACGATTGTATACATTCATACATATATATACACACACATGCACACATATGTATACGTAATATGTATATAATACTTGACAACGGCCAAGGTTGACTGTTATATACACACATATATCTATGCGTGTAATCATTTGGATCGATCGTCTCTCTGCATTTTTGTCCCCCTCCTTTCCTCCTCCGCCACCTCCTCCTCCTCTCACTCTCTATCACTTATAATTAATTAAAAATATCAGTACCGATAATTATTCTTATTTAATGCATAATATCATTAAAATCAGCTTATCATCTTTGGTATAATTTAATCATTTAATTTATTTTCTATCACTATAATAATTTATAGAAATATTTAATACGAATTTTACTTTTCAGTTCATACTTGTTTTTCTTTTTTAAATATATTTTTATACATTATAAATAATATATTATGATAAGAATTTTTGTGTGTGGATTTAATTAACTTTTTATTTTTTATTTTCAAACACATGATTGCCTTTCGGACAATAACGATATTAATAATACATTAAATGTGAAAGGATAAAAGTAATGAAAATCATTCTATCGGAAGTTATCGACGATTAATTTTATTATCAAATGAAAGGTCTACAAGATAAAATAGCCGGAATATAGGAAAGTAGAAAATTCATTAGAATCACAAGGTCAAAGTGTTAGAAAGTGGGCGTTGAACTTAGAAAATGTATAATTTCCTTTGATATCTATCTTTGAATGACAGAACGTTTGAATTAAACTACTCGAACGCGTATCAAATAGAATTTCTCCTGAAAACCACGTGCTGTTTCATATTCTGTAACGATGCACTTTCGATTATTATTGCCAATTAAGTGGTCGAATCAAATGAATTGTAATTAAATTCTAAATCATCCCACTTTACTATGAATTATTTGATATTCACGAGTGGGACGTGTTCTTTACGATGACCTTAAAATAATTTACTTAAAACATGATTTATCTAGATAAATACAAAGAAGAAAGAAGAATTAAATGACAAAAGAACAATTAGAGAATAAGATTTGTACTATTTTATAGCATAAGTGGATTATTCAGAAAATCGATTCTAATTATTGGCAGAGGATACTTGCAATATACGTATACTTACGTAACTAAATGCGACAATATAATGCATCATTTTTCAATTCTTATTTAATTCCCTATTGTGATGTGGGCAAAGTTATCCTTGTTTCTCTTTTATTTAACTCATTGTTTAAACATTTAGAAAAATTATGATTAAAATTTATATCATTTACACGTATACTCAATGATATTTGAAATTCATTGTCTTATCGAATAAAGTAACTTAAATTGAATTTTTCAAAAGAAATAAATTTGATTCTAGTTAATTTGTTATTAAAAACTTTATACAGTAATGTCAGACAACAAAAAATCTAATAATAAAATAATAATTTCCTAGTTGGTAAAAGTCAAACAGTATATTTCTAAATAAAATAACGAGAACGTTCTACATAAAAAAAATGAAAGAAAGAGAAAGAGAGAGAGAAAAAAGGTCGCATCTCTCTAACATTTTGCATTCACTGCACATAACAAAAAAAAAAGGATAAGTTTCTATCGAAGACAAAATGGCAAAAGTTTATCATGTAACTAACGATAGATTTCCCATTTTTGTATTCTCATAGAAAAAAAAAAGATTGAGCACTCGGGAACGCCTACGACAGTCAGCAAGATTGCAGGGAAATTTTTTATTATTTTCTTTTGCTTTTTATTTTACTGTTCATGACGCAAAAATTAAAAAAGAAAAATACGAGAGAAAATAAAGTTTTATTTTTCGTTGAAAACGTACAACTCTCCTTGTTATAAAAAAGCATTTTTTTTTTAAATCCGTGAATGCGCGTTCAAAAATAGTAGGCATTAGCGTTATAACTCTGAAATACGAGAACCCGTTTTCATCATTGGCAAGGATTCTGCTTATCCTAGCACATATATGATACCATACATATATTTATGTTTTAAATACTTACTAATAATACATGTATGTGTATTCATATAATACAGACACACGTATATTCCGCTAAATGTAAGACAGAAATTACAGGCACTGTCATTCATTAATCATTTACTTCGTTAATTAGTACTCTAACATATGTTATAATTGTCCATCTTTCAGAACAGGTGAGAACCAAATGAAATAATAGATTTCAACGTATTATTGTTTTCATTATCATAATCTAATATTTTCAATCAGGAAAAATAAACATAAAAAATTGGAAAAAATGCATTGATGTAATATGTTAATAAAAAAAAAGAGAATTAAAATAATATAAGAATAATAAAAAATAAAAGAAATAAAATTAGGAAAATAAATATAAATATTAGAATATACTGAAAATGATAAAAAATACGTTGATAAAGAAAAAAGAAAAATAATTATCGTTAATTATCAAATTGCATTCATACCTCATAAACATACACACACGTACGTAAAAAAAAAAATTAAAAAAAATTCTAACAAATATACCTATATGAATAAAATAAGAATAATAAAATAAAATAGTTGTTTAAGGGGAATGATATCATGGTATTAAAATTAGAAGTACACGTACTACTTGAATAAAGTGTGATAAAGAATAGGAGAAAGACAAAAGGATAGGGAAAATAAGTAAGTAAGTAAGTAAGTAAGTAAGTAAATAAGTAAGTAAGCAAGTACATATGTAGATACGGAAGGAAAGGTATTATACAGTGTAAGAGGAAAGTAACGAGATCAAGTGCGCGAGGGTTGCAGCTCACATCAGTCCCGGTGACCTCGAAACCAAACCTGCCTAGCAAACGTATACACTTATACGAAAACGTTAACTGTAGAAACACCCGGACATGAATACACACGCAGACCACGTACATCCACATACACGCGTATACTAAGAATCCAAAGAGACTTTAGGATCGATATTTTCTCCGCCATTCGTAGACGTAGAACTTGATGCAGATGTCACTCAACCAGTCGCGCTCGCGCTTCCTACAAAATCTCTCGTCTCAAGAATATCGCTCTTATTACTAATATTTATTCTTCCTTTAATTTATCTGTTAATTACTCTATCTTATCGTTAGAGAAGAACAATAAAACCACACCTTTACGTTCGATCAATTAACTCGTTGGTGTCAAACACGCGCGGATTCGTTAAGCTCAAAATGCATTTTTTTCTGTGGACGAATATCCATCTTTTTGTGTTTCCCGCATTTCACAGTCTCTGCTCTTAAACTAAATTTAATCATCTAGTGTTCTTATATCAGTTTGACATCACTGAATTAATTAACCCAACGATTTGAACGTTTCTGATGATTAGCAAACAAACAAAATAATATTCTCTAATTAATTATACATATATTTGTGTGTTTTTGCGAGGGAGAGAAAGAGAGATAGACTAAAAGAAATGAAAATAAATTTGAGAATAAAAGTATAAAACAGGACGAGTAAAACCGGTGGAGGTAAGGAACGGCGCGCGTAACAACAACGTCGTCGTCAGTCATCGTAATTGTCACTGTCATAATTTTCGTCATAGTTTTTGTCATAGTTATATAGTCATAGTCATCCTATAAAACGAAGGGAGAAAAAACATAACTAAACTTACCCACCTCTTGGCAGGATGCTCGAACGATAAGCGAGTCCTTCAACATTCCCAGGAGGAAGTTTTACCTCGAATCTTCTTCGTACGATTTATCTCTCTCTCCCTTCCTCTTCCTCGTCCTCTTCCTCTTCCTCTTCCTCTTCCTCTTCCTTTCTCCTTTCTCCTCTCACTCTCTTTCTTTTTCTTTTTTCCTTTTTTTCTTTATTTTTCTTTCTCGCAACACCGTTGGAGAAAGAAAATAAAGAGGAGGATACGAGAATTTCTCAGTAAACAAAGAAATATTCTTTCTCTCTCTTTTTCGAAAGGAAAAGCACGAAAATTCTAACACCACACTGTTTTTTTTTTAACACTTTTCTTCTTTTATCTATTTCTTTAATTATTATTTTCAATATATTTTTCTCTAAATTTATTTATCTTCCTCTTCTTTTCTTCTTCTTTTTTAGATAATTTTATTAATAATACAATTGTTTATATTAGGCACTTCTACCGCGTGTTAGGTGTTATAAGGATTAATAAAAGAAACGTAAAATTTCGTTTCAATGGTGCTCCGCGAACAACAGCAGAAACAGATAAATAATAAGAATTTTTAGATCCCTCCGACGAGAGATTTGCGATACGATTTACTAGACGTTCACGCTTGCTAATCCGTAACACCGTACAGAACGGATGCTGCCATGCTACTGGACGAGAACCGAGCCTTCGTACGCAGCGCCATCTATGATTTTTCTGCAATTCGTAAAATTAAATACACACTAGTTAGATATGACACTATCGTTTCTGTACAAATTTTTTTTATTTTTGTTTTTATTTTCCTATCATGCGCGCTTGCGATCTAAAGAAAAAGTTTATCTATCGCAGAATTTCTCATTGGATCGATTATGTTCGACTAATATTTTTTATAATATTATCAAGAATTATTATGTAATATATTTATTTCTAATTTTTGTGTATATTTTTATAATCATTTTCACTTGATAATTTACAATCAAGGATGCTTGTGAAATTACGTAACGTTTAATTTTGTTTTTTATTTTGGTTATATTATATAAAAGAACTTGTTAATATATTTTTTATTAATATTCAAACGATAATCAACGTGTTGAAATTTTTCTGACGCGGATACAATGTTAGAAATAAATTTAAAGGTGTGAAGATGGGGTTGCGTAATGCGATCAGCTGATCATCCATCTGCACACATGAAACTGTCCAACTGGTCTACAAAGACACTTTGTTGTCTGTCACGAGTATGACAAACGTTTTATTCAACGTGACGAATTAAAATTAAAAAGAAAACGTAATTCGCTGTACAATAACTCGGCAAAATTTACTTTTTCATTTAGATAAACAATTTTATTAAAAAGACCGCATCGTTTAATTTTTATTTTACTACTATTAAATTTATTAAATATATAATTGAAATAGAACAAAGGAAATGGTTTAAATGATATCATTAAATGAAGGTTAAACATGTATTGAATTATCTTGTTGCAAGAGATATGAAAATAAACGAATACAATTATTTTAATAAAGTAGTAACCATGTTAATAAATCATTTTTATTAGTATTCCTTAATCTACAAAATTATGTAGAGTTAATTATGTGTAAATTATGAAAAGTTTATATTAACAGTAAAATTGTTATGCATATGCATTTTCAAACTACGCGCCAAAAGAAATTACTAACTAATCAATCGTAAAACGAGTTCTTTGACGCTAGTATTAATATTATAAATAATCTGAAATTAATAATATTAGGATATTATTTTGTTTACTATAAATATTTAAAGTAGATGATAATTAATACAAATTGTTCGATATTTTATATTAACTTGGTAAAAATCTGTTTGTATCGTCCCAATTTTTGTTATGACGTGTCTCGTAAACGTGCCGCCAAGCGCATGCGCAATGCGACCTTACGTGGCATCGGCAGCAGTTACTCTTGGCAGAGGAGTGGATGTTCTTCGTTTAAGTGTAAACATTCGAGTGAAGATATTAAGTTTTGTTATGATTTAAATGCGTTTAATCACGTAAGTGGGCATTTAGAAACTTAAAACATACGATAATTCTCTCATTCTACTGATTGTACTCGTAAGTAGGAGTTTCAGTATTGTATTGGCATGGTTCTTATTCCTCCCATTGACTTTTTCTAGACGTACAATATTTAATGCGAATCATATTGAATTGTAATAGTATATACGTGATATATATATTTTACATGTAACTTTGGTGTCGTAGGAATTCGCAAGACATAACTAACGCAACGTATAGGTTATATTACAACGTAAGAAATGTCTGGGCCATCCATTAAGGGACAGCAGTATCCCCCTATACCAAGACCGCCAAATCCAGGACATCACTATTCTGAACCGGCTAATATTAATGCGCCACCATTATCTGGCCAACCAAACATGTTTCCACCACCGTTATCGAATCAACAGAATTATAGTAAACCACCGCTTACCATGATGGGACAACAGAATTTTTCTGGCTTGCAACCGTCTGGGTATCAAATGCAATCCAACATTCCACCTCCGATGACAAATACATCTGGTCCGCCAAAACCTCCTATGTATTCTATACCACCTACTACTCACGGACAATTATCGAACTCTCCTGTAACAAATCAGCCTCCAAAATGTCTCAGTCCAATGTCGCATAACAATCAAAATATGCTATCTAATGCTTCTGCTTCGTTGTCATCTAATAGTCAAAATTTAATGTCTAATACGGCATCAGCAATGCCACCTACCAGTCAAAATTCAATGTCCAATGCTTTGCCACATATGCCGCCTAGCAGCCTAAGCATGATGTCTAATATTTCGGCAAAGATGCCTCCTAGTAATCAGAACGTTATGTCCAATATGGCACCGCAAATGCCACCAAGTAATCAAAGCACTATATCCAGTACTTTGGCTCAAATGCCACCGAGTACTCAAAGTATGATTCCTAATACTATGGCACAAATGCCACCAAAAAATCCAAATCTGATCAATGCTTCGGCTCATATACCAACACAAAGTTCTCCAAACATGATGTCTAATGTTTCTCATCAAATACCACCCAGTTCACAAAATTTATTATCTAATTCTGGGTCTGAAATGCCAGCCAGATCACAGAGCATGATGTCTAATACTGCTCCTCAAATACCACCTAGTTCACAAAGTCTCATGTCTAATTCTGGGTCCGAAATGCCACCCAAATCACAGAGCATGATGTCTAATACTGCTCCTTCAATGACACCAAGTTCACAAAGTTTAATGTCTAATTCTGGAGCTGAAATGCCACCTAGATCGCAGAGCATAATATCTAATACTGCTCCCCAAATGCCACCAAGTTCACAAAATCTAATGTCTAATTCTGGGTCAGAAATGCCACAGAGAACGCAAAGTATGATGTCAAATACTGCTCCGCCAATGCCACAGAGTTCACAAAATCTTATGTCTAGCTCTGGATCTGAAATACCACAAAGGTCACAGAGCATGATGTCAAATACCGCTCCTCCAATGCCACAGAGTTCACAAAATCTAATATCTAATTCTGGNGCTCCTCCAATGCCACAGAGTTCACAAAATCTAATATCTAATTCTGGATCAGAAATGCCACCCAGATCACAGAGCATGATGTCAAATACCGCTCCTCCAATGCCGCAGAGTTCACAAAATCTTATGTCTAGTTCTGGAGCTGAAATGCCACCCAAATCACAGAGCATGATGTCTAATACGACAACACAAATGCCACCTAGTTCAACAAATCTTATGTCTAATTCTGGAGCTGAAATGTCACAGAGAACGCAAAGTATGATGCCTAATATTTCGGCACAAATGCCTCCCAGATCACAAAATATATCTAATACTTCGGCTCACATGCTACCAAGCTCACAAAATATGATGTCTTGCACTATGGCTCAAATGCCACCAAGCTCACAAAATATGATGTCTAGTACTATGGCCCAAATGCCACCAAGCTCACAGAATATGATGTCTAACACTATGGCTCAAATGCCACCAAGCTCACAAAATCTAATGTCACACAATGCTCCACCTTCAATGCCACCTAGTTCTCAGAACATGATGCCAAGTGCTTTGGCTCCAAACCATCCTCCTATGTATCCTGTAGAACAAAGCGGACAAAGTCATATGCCACCTTTACCTGGTTATCCTTTGCCAAAATCAGGACGATATCCTACTGCTCCTCCAATGTCTGGGCAAGCAATAACAAATCCTGGTCTTAATCGTCCAATGCCTTCACCTATGACCAACTATCAACAAGGAGGTTATCCTCAACCGGGATATCACAATCAAACGGTAAACATTTATTACAAGAAAACACTAACATATTGTGTTTATAAATTTGTATATCTTACATATAATTGTTAATTTCAGGATATGTATGCAAGTCAAAGAAATCCTTATCAAAGCGGTCCGATGGGTTCTACAGAAAGTTATCAACCAGGCATGCAACCACAACAAGCCAGACGTTTAGATCCAGAACAAATGCCAAGTCCTGTAAGATATCGTCAATATTATAATAAAAATTTCAAGAATATAATCTTAATAAATATCTTTTCTTTTATAGATACAAGTTATACAAGATGATCAATGTGCAAAAGGTGGTGTGTTTATTACAAATCAAATAGGATTGGTTCCACCATTAGTTACTACTAAATTTGTAACACAAGATCAAGGAAATGCTTCCCCCAGATATATTAGATCAACAATGTATACTGTTCCCACTAATGCAGATATTTTAAAACAGGTAAAAATTTAATGTAATATATAAATATAAAAATATTTAAATATTTCCATGGTCATATTATTACAATAATTATTATTTTATAGACTATGGTCCCTTTTGCTTTAATAATAAATCCAATGGCACGTGTCGAAGAAGGAGAATATGAACCACCGATTGTAGATATGGGAGAAATCGGCCCAGTTCGTTGTGTACGATGTAAAGCATATATGAGCCCATTTATGCAGTTTATTGATGCTGGACGTAGATTTCAGTGCATGTTTTGTAGAGCCATAACTGAAGGTAAAATACATTTAAAAAGTCCATTTAAATTAGATCCATTAAATTATTAATAAAAATTCATAATATATCATTGTTTAAATATAGTTCCAGCTGAATATTTTCAACATTTGGATCACAGAGGTCAACGTATGGATCGTTATGAAAGACCTGAATTAATGTTAGGAACATACGAATACATTGCTACAAAAGAATATTGCAGAGTAAGAAAAAACCCACATATCTTACTTAATATTAATTTTTATTTAATATTAATATTATATTATTAATAATTAATTGTTTTCCTTTGTTTTAGAATAATGTTCTTCCAAAACCACCAGCAATTGTATTTGTGATCGATGTTTCATATAATATGATTAAATCAGGCTTAGTAAATTTATTATGTGCAGAGATGAAATCAATAATAAAACATTTGCCGGTCGATGTGGATCAAGTTAAATCAAATATGAAAGTTGGTTTCATAACATACAATAACACAGTACATTTTTATAATGTTAATCCTTGCCTTACTCAACCACAAATGATGGTTGTGGGTGATGTCCAAGATGTATTTATGCCCCTTCTCGATGGATTCTTATGTGACATCGATGAAAGCGAAGTTGTTATTGACAGCTTAATGGCACAGATACCTGCAATGTTTGCGGATACACGTGAAACGGAAACTATTCTTGCACCAGCGATACGAGCTGGACTTGAGGCATTGAAGGTATTTATCTCATTTTTTTTTTTTCATTATAAATAGAGTAGATTTTTATATTGAATTTCTATATTTTTGTACAGGCTTCAGAATGCGCAGGAAAATTAATAGTATTTCATTCGTCTTTACCTATTGCCGAGGCACCAGGAAAATTGAAAAATCGAGATGATCGCAAGTTACTTGGTACTGATAAAGAAAAATCTGTATTAGGTGTGTGTGTGTGTATTTATAAATATTTTAATATATTTATTATTATTTTTTATAATAAAATAATATAATGTTTGATTTCTTTTACTTCATAGCTCCACAAAACAACGTTTATAACAATTTAGGACAAGAATGTGTCGATGTTGGATGTAGCGTTGATCTTTTTATTTTTAATAATTCTTATGTGGATATAGCAACTATTGGTCAAATATGTAGGCTTACTGGAGGTGAAGTTTATAAATATACGTATTTTCAAGTAAGTTACAGTTTATACAAAAAATCCGATTACAAATAACATTGCAAATAGCACTCACTTATGAAATAGGCTGATGTTGATGGTGGCAGATTGGTATCAGATATTATTACCAATATCAGTAGACCGATTGCTTTCGATGCGCGTATGCGTTTACGTACTTCTACGGGTGTTAGAGCTACTGAATTCTATGGACATTTCTTCATGTCAAATACCACGGAAATGGAGTTAGCTAGTATAGATTGTAATAAGGTATGTGTATAATTTATTATTATATAATAATTTATATATATGTAGGGTAATATTTAACAAATTCATTTTATTCAAATAATTAGGCTGTTGCTGTTGAAATTAAACACGACGATAAATTAGCGGAAAACGAAGGTGTATATATACAAGCGGCTTTATTATATACTTCTTGCGGAGGAGTTAGACGATTACGTATTTTAAATCTCAGTTTAAAAAATTCTTCTCAAATAACTGAGTTATATCGTACTTGCGATCTAGACGCTATTGTTAATTATTTCTCCAAACAAAGTAAGATTTAGTTGCAATCTTACATAACTTAAAAATATCACAATTTTTTACTACAGTTATATTCGTAATATTTTGTCGTTTATTATATTTTTTTAGGTGTTTTTAAATTAATCGAATCAACACCAAGAGTCGTCAAAGATAATTTGATTTCAAGATGCGCGAACATGCTTGCAGCTTATAGAAAAAATTGTGCTAGTACGTCTAATGCCGGTCAATTGATATTACCGGAATGTATGAAGTTGCTACCATTGTACGTTAATTGCATATTAAAAAGTGATGCGATTACTGGTGGTAAGTTTATATTTGAAATAAATTAATACAAATATAAAAATAGTTATGAAACTTATTAATTTAATTCTATATCTTCAATTGTAGGTTCAGATATGACTATAGATGATAGATCATTTGTTATGCAAGCGGTTGCTACAATGCCTGTTTCAATATCTGTTGTTTACATGTATCCCAGATTACTTCCTTTACATGATATTGATCCGGATAATACAGAACTACCACAAATGTTACGTTGTTCTTTCGATAAATTTACTGAAGACGGAGCTTACTTACTTGGTATATATGCTAACAGATTTTTTTATTTATTCTTCATACCTGTAAGTTTTTAAAATAATTTTGTGTATTTTCGTTTTTTTTTTTTTTTTTTTTTCAGAAAATAGTGTGCATATGTTCTTATGGTTAGGCGTAGCGCTTTCTCCATTATGGGTGAAGGCAGTCTTTGATGTAATATCTGTAATTAAGGTTGATACAGATCGCACTTCACTGCCAATATTGGATAATCCATTAAATAAAAGAATAAGAGAAATAATTGATCAAGTAAGGCACGAGAGACACCGTTGCATGAGGGTAAGAATAAAAATCTAGAAATTTATTATTTTATCTAATCATTGTGTGTCGTGTATACAAATATTTTCTTCATTCATAATTTAATTGTTACAGTTAACGATAGTAAGACAGAGGGAAAAGTTAGAGATGGTATTACGTCACTTCTTAATAGAGGATAGAGGAAATGATGGAAGTCCGAGTTACGTTGATTTCCTTTGCCATATGCACAAAGAAATACGAGAGCTTCTTAAACCATAAAAAATTGATTCGACAACGACAACAGCAACCAAAACTGGATTGTATATGTTACGTTTTGAAAACTTCTATTATTCCGCGTACGTCCAGCTGTGATTCTTGTCATAAGATCTTTTTTTTTGTGCCAAGGATCGATTCGAGATCACGAAAATAATTATGGGATTTGATGAAAAGTTAGTGAGAATTGTCACGCATGATATTTTATTGGTGTAATCGTGTGTGTTGTAAAGAAAAGAAGAAGAAGAAGAAAATGAGGATGAAGATGGAGATGAAGAAGATAAAGAAGATAAAGAAGATAAAGAAGATACAGATAAAGAGATGAAGAAAGAAAATAAAAGAGAATAAGTGCAAAGTGAAAAACATCAATATATTATATATATATATATACATATACATATACCTATAATACATAATGGGAAGAGAGCAGCAGATGGACTTATATATATAAATATTAAAAAAGAAACAAAGCAAACACAAAATAAACACTACTAATCATTCCGATCAAAAGCCAAGATATTTGCGTGACGAAAATGAAGAAAAAAAAATGAAAAAGAAATAGTAAAAAAGACAAACACAGACACGCTCATATTCATTACAGTGATTTATACATGAGAGTAAACTGTAAACCTTCAAACTTGTATTATTGCGATATTATTACTCTTTTATTTTATTTTATTTATGTATATGTATATATATAC